CCCACAGCAATCTCTGTAGCAATTGTCTCCCTTAAATCTTTAGACAGTTACAATTGAAAATAATTACTGCTGTTAAACACAGTTCTTGTGCAGAGATACGCTGTGTTTCTTATAGCAATGAAGAAAACCAGTGTGTTTTCTCCTTTCTGTGGTATTGTATAGTCAAGCCTTGTTTGAGAGGCTGAGTTTATTATATGTTTACTGGGGAAAGACACTACATAATGTTGCTTATTGAATTATTTCAATAATGTTAGCATTTTAAGCATTTTAGCATTGTAGTGGTAATGGGCTGTGTTCTACTAACAGACAAATTGTACTGTGTTTCTGCATGAGCGTTCACAAGTAACAGAAGAGAGCTTGTTAGTTCCTTTCTTATAAAAAATTTCTGAGAAGAAACACAACTTAACCCATGGAATTGTATCACCATGCCCTGTAGCAGAGTTTGAACTTGTCCTGCAGAAATCTTTTACTTCCATAACTTGATTAGTAGGAAGTTGTTCATCAGCATTTTAAAATATTTTGTGGCTTCTGTTCTGAGAATTAGTAGTGCTTATGGCAGCCAGCTCAAGCCACAAGGTTGGCAGTGTCCAGAAGCTGCCTTTTGTGCTGCTGTGAACTTCGGTTATGGCCATGTATATTCTACATTCCAGTACATTCTTTTCCCTTTGTAAAGGCATCTAGGTTATTGAGAACACCAAATATGTAAAAATACTCATCAGTTTTTAGCCTTCATTTTCTTATACGCTGCAGGGATATATATATATATATTTTTAAACTCTTTCAACGTATGTATTGCATTAGTTCTCAGTACTTGGTTTTCAGGGAGGAAACTTAATTTGTTTCCACTGCTCTGAGCAGAGGAAGAATTGAAAGAGCTTTGAATAATAACATGACGCACATACTACTTCATCGGAAAGTATAACTGGTGTCTGAAATCCAGCTCTAGGCCAGTGAGCTGACTGGTAAGAGTCTCTGCAAGGCGTATCACCTCTCTCAGTTGCAGTGTGTTGTGGAAAGACACCACATTGTTTCTGGCTCCTGGCAGAGTTTCACTTGCTGACCAATCCTGAGCACAGTCTTTCCAGTGCCCTGTTAGTTCTGCCACAGAGAACCAGCTGGCATTCCCTGAAATTAGCTAATCTGAGAGAATTATACATTGCTTAAAGCAGTGACAGAGAAGGAAATTATATTTTCAAGCTATTTTTGAGATGTAGACACCAAAACTATTTTTTTTTCAAGTATGGATTTTTTTTATTTTCAGTGCTTCAAAAAATGATTCATCAGCGGGCAGTCTTTAGCTTGCTCCTTTTTTCTCCATAGGGCTCTTCAGTTTGTTAGGATGATGATGTTGCTTTAATTTACTGTCAGAACCACAAGTTAGGGGGTCGTCCTCTTCTCCAATAAGTCATGGCATGGTAATGCCCAAAATGTAGAATGAAGATCCTTGTTATTTGTCTAGACCATGCCTGGAAGGGCTCCGTCTTGTGTATCAAGCAATACTGTAGATTTAATTACTTCCTTTTCTCTCTACTGTCTCCTCTTCCTGTCCGACTACAGGTATAAGCCTGTTTTGCCTGAATTTGGTGTTGCTTTCTGAAAAAATCCTCTTGCATTACAAAAGGTGTATCTTATGCTGAAGTCTGATTATGTTTGGAATCCAAAAGTGCAAACTTGAAATAACCTTACTGAGTGGAATGCAGGTTTGATGGAGCAGGGGAAAACACCAAAAACAAAACAAAAAAACCCCAAACAAACAAAAAAATGAATTTGTCACTAAAGTCTGTAGACTAAGATTGGAGAGAGGGTGTTTCTGCAGTGATATCAGTGTGCTGCTTTACTGCTGGGCTCTTCTGGTAGAAGTGGAAAGGAAGCGCTGTGGTGGGCAAATGTAGCAAATCTTGTCTGCAAGGAGCACTTACCTTCAAAGCCCAAATAGTGAAAGCTTAATTTATGCCAGGAGTTTGAAGGCTCATATTCCTTCCAAAACATTTCATGGCTTAAGATTTGTTTGCAAAGCTTTTCTAATAATCCTGCAAAGTGGTTAGCCTTAGTAGTGTTTTTAATTTTTTAGCTCTGTCTTCAAATGGAAAAGGATTTCTTTAACATTTCTGAAATCAACCTCTGTCTTTGTATTTACTTATTCCTGTACAATAAATGGATGAATAGAAATTTCTGATATTACAGGTACTAATTGCATTTCTTGTCTAAATGACACTCTTAGTAGCTCTATTTTTTTCATTTTCTTTGTGTAATTAGTTTTTACATGCTTCATGGTCTAAGAACTGCTGACAGAATGAATTGGTAGCCTTATTTTTGAGAAGAGATGTGTAATAAAGTATTGATAGTGAGTTTATACCATAGGCACTGTATGTGTTTCCTGTGCTGTGTAGCAACCTTTTGAAGTGCTTTTTGGTCACATAAGTTGAAAATCTTTCAGTTCTCAGTGGTATTTAATAGGATGTTCTTTGTTTTGGGTTGCGGCAGTTAATACAGAAACCACTATGATGTATGTTTCAGTCCAGTGTAGGAGATGTTTCTTAATGCTGAGTTTCAACATGCATTATGTTGCTCAACTCATTTAATTCAGTTAAGTCTGTTTAGGAGACAGCACAGGATTTTGCTGTGTTAACTGCTGTATGCAATATCCTAAAAAAAGCATGAAAAAGCATGAAACACTCAAATATGGGATGCATATTTGCATGTATTAACATCTTGGGATAGGGACTACTTTTTTGAACTCTCTGATAAGATGGATGAGGGCTTGGTGGATGAGGGGAAAGCAATGGATGCTGCTTATCTTGACTTCAGTAAAGCTTTTGATGCTGTCTTCCATGACAGTCTTGTATGTAAACTGATGAAGTACAGACTAGATAAGTGGACAATGAGCTTGATTGAAAAGTGGCTGAACTCTTAAGGCTCAGTGGACTATGGTCAGTGACATGAAGCCCAGCTAGAGGACAGTCAGCAGTGGTGTACCTCAGGGGTAAATATTGGAGCCAATACATTGTCCTAGCTGTCCTGGATCATAGGACAGAGCGTGCCCTCAGCAAGTTTGCTTGAATAAAACTGGAAGGGGTGGTCAAAGGAGTGGTCAATGCACCAGATATTCGTGCTGCTGTTCAGAGAGACCATGACAAGCTGGAGAAATGTGCCAACAGGAATTTCATGAAGTTCAACAAAGAGAAATGCAAAGTCCTGTGCCTGGGAAAGATTAACCCCATGTACTAGGACAGACTGGGGGCTGACTGGGTGGAAAGCAGCTTTGTGGAAAAAGGTTTGGGCTGTTCTGGTGGACAGAAAAGTGAACAGAACTTCAGAACTTTTCTGAAGATTCTTATATCTATAGCACTGTCTCAACTTCTTACCATTGCATTCGTCATTTAGTTGGTGTTGTGTACAAATTATTCAGTAAACTTATTGCACGTTCATTCAGTGTTTGTGTCCCTTCATAAGTGGAAAATGAAATCCAAGCCTGTCAGTATTTTTTGCATATTTCAGAATGGTTGTTGTTACAAATAGCAGGAATATGATCTGCTTTGTTATTGTGAAATGTGCTTTAATTAGTAATTTCTACTATGTTGTTCATGTGATTCTTTTGGTTGTTGTAAAAACCCATGTACATTTCAGAAAAAAACCCCCATTTTGAGATCATTCTATGTTTTGAAGTTATTTTATAGTGAGAGCTTCACAGATTGATTGCAGAGCAGCCATCTAACATTAATTGTTTATATCATGTAAGAGAGCAAAGAGACCATAACTGTTTACTTTGTGTTTATAAAAATTAGGATTTTAGAGATATTTCAGCCTTTGGGTAAGAACACTTTTCATTAAAATTCCTAGAGTCTAAAAATCAATTTTTATCACAGAACTTATTTTTGGAAGGCTATGCATTTCCACCTGTTCATGCAATTTGGTCACTAGAGCTACTGTCACATTCGGAGAATGTCTTTCCTTATAATGTTATCTTGTTTACCTCCAATGTTGTGTGCATCTGGAAACATGAATTTGGAAATTCAGATTTATATTGAACAGTATCTGATGCCATAGTTCACTTTGTCCTGCTCAATAATTTTAATACACAGAATCAAGTAAATAAATGACTTAGGTGAGAGGATGTCTTTGGAACATACTTGTTATAAAGACAAAATATCTTAATGGTGAAATGTAATTACCAGCAGACAAATACAGTTTTTCATTTTCAACTTATCCGGTGGTACATTTCACCAGTGATATAAAGGCTAAAACAGAAGTGATACCAGCAACTAATGCACGAAGTATTTTCTTTGTTTATGCCCTAAACTGCAAAAATAAATTATTGCTATTTAGTAAAAAGTCCAAAGTTCTGTTACGTTTTTTTTCCTCCTCTGACGTATTATTTTCATTGTCTGTTTGGGATATTGTGCTGAAAAGTAAATCCAAAGGAAAAATTTACTTTCTGATGAAACTTACAAAATACAGTTTTAGAAATCTCCTGAAAATCAACCAAACTTTTCACAATAGCATCAATTCTGCAGTATCCTATTAGAAGGTTCCTGTTATTTCTAAAGCCACAGAATTAAGCTTATAGGAAATGTTCCTTATAGTTCAGGGAAGTGTCTAAAGCTTTACATTTCAGTGTTCTGTACTGCTGCTATGTTATTGTGGATACTTTGGGAAAGTGTTCTAAAGGGTCACAGCAAAACAATAAAAATGTAGATTTTTTTTCTGCTATGTACACATGTATTTTGGGGTGTGCATGTGTGTATTTATACGTATGCAGGTAAGGGTGGATAAGAGGATGGTGAGTTGTTTTTATAACTATGTTTTCAAAACCATGGCTAAAAATTATTTAGAGTGGAAGTCATTTTGGTTTTCTGTTCAAGAAAATCCTGCAAACTGGTCATTAACCCTCCACTGATCAGAATCTATAGTGATCAGGTTTATTTCTTCAGTTTTGTAAATTCTAAGTTGTTTTTCCTTTTTTCTTTCTTTTCTCTCCCTCTTTTCTGTGCAACTCACAGCTTTTGGAAATTAACTGGACTGGACTGACCAATCTTCTAGATGTTCCAGGACTGAAGTGAGTACTGTAAAGCAGTGTTTGATATTCTTCCACCCCAATAAATGCCAGAAAATCTGAAGACCATCAGCTAAATAATTTCACATTAAATGACTCTGAGCGTTTCTCTCATAATTTAGAATAATATTAAATTACTCAATATGCAAAGGTAGTGATTTTGCTATAAACGAAAGTATATCAAAAGTTTATCTAGTAGGTCTTGTTAAAAATGTTCTGAAAAGATATTTTTTTTAATCTGCTTTTTGTAGTGTTCTCAGCTTTTCCAGATTTCCATAATCTTGTTAATTGCCCATCTTCTAGGACATCAGAAGGACAGAGAGCTGTATTTTTCACGCCACTGTTTTCACAACATCTTGGCTCGTGGCTTTGTATGCCAATGCATCCGTAGTTGCTTGTGTAAAGAAATAACTGAATTGTGTAGAAATAACTGAAGACAGTAATCATATTAAATAAACTTCCTAATCTCTTCAAGCACTTACTTTTAAAGCTTTCAGTTTATTATATGAAGATCAAATGGAGTAGCAAAAAATACTGACCATATATAGGTATAAAAAATGCTTGACTTATTTAGAGCTTTTCAGAATAGTACATGATAAAACCCCGAAGAAAAAAGCAGAAGTCAAGCTGAAAACCAAGCTGCTTTGAATCATTGCAGTCCTGATAAGGTTAAATCCATGAATATATATTCGTAATTATGAAGTTGTAATAGTTACCCAGGGGCTTTTTAATACTGAGACAATGGGTAAGGGGATAATGGTGGATCTAATACACACTCGGATTTTGTGACTAGTCCTTTTATTGGGTCCCATACTCTGGAGAGCTGGCTGACTCGAGAGTTATTTTTTATTGTTTAAAAACAAGAGTTTGAATTTAGGTATTAAGTTAATCCTTCAGTGCTCAATTGCGTGACTGAAACATTTTTTGCTTTACTTAGACTTACGAAGCTGTTGCATGGAATCCCAGTTGAACAGTTTGAAATTAGAACTTGCATTAAGTAGGTTAATGGCTCCAAGAATTGCTTATGTTTCAAGTCTGCTTAAGGCTGCCTCCGAGGAAAGAGGTGTTCTTGATGAGAGAGAAAATGGCTTCCAAAATACAGCTCCTGAGTAATAATTTGTTCTTTTGACGTAATACTAATAAATTTACATTCAGTACTTAAGCTTACTACGTTCCTGAGATTCATATGGTGCTACATATTTGCCTGACTGCAAACACAAAACCTCAGATGTAAACAAAGTCTTGCTAAGTATCTCAAGTTTATGGTTTCTAGAGCAACCAGGCTTGGCCACATATGCGTATAATGGTGCCATCTAGATGTGGTATAGTTTCTATAGTAACTGTAACTGAGGTGACTCATGCTCTGCTTTGCCAAGAGATTTTTTCAGTGCTGTATTTGTTTTTCTTATCTGTATAGATAGATTTTATATTTTGGTGTGAGAGCTTGACATATTGTAGTTGTTATAAACAATGGTGAACAGGAGATTGGTGCCGTCACAGGTACCTTTTTCGTCCTATGGCAGTTGGCTGCACACTATACTATTTATTTGTACTCTCTTTGCAAATGTCTTCTGCTAAATGAATTTCTTCATTTGCTGCTGGAAGCTTCCTTGTCAGCTGTTAACAACTTCCATTGGTCTTCGTGTATGATTCCACAAGGAGAAGGACACAAAAGTAATTCATATTCTGTCATTAGTATAGCTTATGGAACTAAAATTTCTATGTGAGGAGATGCCAGGCTGTGAGAATACTCAAGTACTGTCACGAGGAGATGTGGATAATGAGAAGATGAATTCTGTTATCCTGTTGCTTAAGACATAGTAAAAATATTCTATGCAGTCAGAGACATGCTGTCTCTCCACTCTGAAAAAAAGACAGCGCAGGAAATACACATAGCTGCTTATTCTGTCATGAAAAATTAAGTAGAGCTAAACAGAGAACAATACAACAGAGTAGGTTATTGCCAATTATTTTTCAGCAATGAAATTGAGGTTTTGATTTACTATAATAAACTATCGGAAGCATTTCACACTTCTCTCATTTTTGTGAACTGAAAAAATAATTGTACTTAGAATTATGATTTAGAGTTTTACCATCTGAAGAAGTTGTTTATCGGTGATGCACCAACATAAGGGTTTAAATTGATACATCTTTCTCTGTTGCTTGATCAGTGATTTGTCTCTGTTTTTCATAGATCAGACCTCTTAGTTTAAGTAACAAAATAATAAAAAAGATTGCTATTTTTGCCTTGTATTCATGAAGAATACTTTCCATCTGGGAGCACCCCAGTTGGCTAATATTTGGTTAGGTAAGTTTTAAACAGCTTGAAAGTGTCATGTTGTTTTAGAATTAATTTATTTACTTAGTTACAGTCTTTGGTATTCTTTTCAGTTCCCCGATTTTAAAGATAGAATATCTGCTATCTCCTACGAGTCCAGTTTCTCTGTGTAAAATTATGTGAAATTCCATTAACGCTGGTTCATTTTTCTCATTAATTTCTCAGATCTTTTAGTGAAATTCAATCATTTATTTTGGGATAAAATTGTGAGTCTGACCTTTGGAATCACAGAGTTGGGGTTTGGTCCTAGCATAAAGGATTATGAATCCTCCAAGAGACTGTGCACTGTTGTGCTTCAGGCTGTTTCTTTCTCTTATTTAAGGAGATCTGCTGCAGCTCCATTTGAACATTAATCAATCTCTGAACCTTTTGCTAGTCTAGGATAGGCTTCATGCCTATAACTTCTTTCATAATTACGTGATGTTAACTAAATACCAGAGAAGAGCACAATAATCTTTCTTTCAAGGCAGCTCTGGTACCATGGCCTCTCTTGCACTGCTCATTCGCTTTCTGTGACCTAGGTCAGTTAGTTTTCTCCATTAATCACCAGTTCTTAAGGCATGCACTTTACTGAGCGTAAAGGCAGAGCTTTCTCTTTTTGCCAGGTTGTGACGCTAACAAAAGCATGAACAAAACAAACTTATCTGATCTCTCTACTGGAGATACATCATCAGACTTGTAGTTTTAGAAGTGTGATTGTTGCTTGTGTAGTTATCATCACCTCAGCTTTTTTGTTTTGTTTTGTTTTGTTTTTCCTTTTAATGTTAAGACTGAGATGTTTATCTTGGATTTTTAAGTCAACTCTAACAAAATAATAGGTTCTATTTTCTTGGCTCATTTTAGAGGAAGTGTAGCATACAAGTTGAAAACTTGATGTTTAGCAAAACAGCACTGAAAAAGTTTGAAAAGCAACATGTGTTACAATGATGACTAAAGGAAGCTACTTGTTTTCAAATAACATAATTACATCTTGTAGGAGTTGTCTCTAAAGAATTACTGAAACTAAATTTGTAGGTTTCAGTGTTCATGTAGAATGAAAGTTTTTGTAAATATGATTGCATAAGCTCTACGAGGAAGGAAGGGGAAAGAAGACTCCTCTTTAGGACAGATGTGGATTAACTCACAGAAGTTGAGAGGAAATTTTTCCTATTGCTTCTAAGCAATATCTTAGTGTTGTCCACTGTTGCTTCTTTCAGGGAGAAAACAGAGGTCTGCAGTCACCTATGTTATGTATCATAGTTTGTCTGGATTTACCGTGGAAGTGGGCAGCTAAGGGGATGCAGGCTATATGGGTTGCAGATCTCTGAAAGATCAGTGTGGATTTGAAATGGGCCAGACTGTATTTAATGGGTTAATTCTGTTACCCGTCTCTACCATAATATGTTTATTGCTCACCACGGAATTTTCTTCCTAAATGAAAATGTAATATATATTACATTTCACTGCAATTTCTGTGTTTTATAAATATGCTAGCTGCCGAGTCAGAGCTACTCCCAACTGCAGATTCAGGCTTTAGAAAAACTTCACAAGGTGATTACACACAAGTGATTAATCTGAAAAATACTCTGAGTAATCAAACGTTATCTGCATCTTAATTTCATGAAGACTATTAAAGGAGAATTATAAAATGTATTTAGAAGGAGAAATTGTTCATCTCTGAAGCAGCTCCACCAGCTTTAGCAAGACTGCAGCCGCAGTTCAGAATATCTCAAGTATTTTTGTAATTTTCTCTCTAAACCTTTGTGCATAACCCTAAACTCTTCCCGGATACTTGTCTTCTGTGGTGAATTGTACCACTCCAGTTCTGCCTTTTTGCCAGTGCAGGGAACGTGTGTGTAACCAATGGTGTTGGTCTGACAATGTCCTGATTTGTTGTCAGTTCAAACCCAAACTGGGCAAACTCGTAGCTTAGGAAATATTTTTCTTTTTTTGTGTTTGTGGGGGGTTATGGGGTTGGGTTTTTTAAATGATTCATTACCAGTGTGATTATACTGCCACTCCCTTTTTTCGAGAACAAAACCTGTTTTGCTTCCCCAGGCTATATTTTACTCAGCCACAAGCATGTTTTCTTTATGTTTCTGTTTTAAATGACAGTCCTCCCAGCTCAAGAGGACGACTTGTTTCATAACGATACAGGAATGGTTAGCCAAACCTTGAGGGAGAGTTAAACCACTACTGAAATACAAAAGTAGATACACAGTTAACATCTGCTTGGTTATATGCAGTGCAGGCAAGAAACCTTGTGCAGTAGCCTTTTACCCTGGGTGGCTTTAAAAGGCAGGGATGAGGGGGAACTTGGGTAGTGGTAGGGAAATGAGAACTTTATATTCCGCTCTGTTTTCTGCTATTCAGTGTCAGCTGCTTCCACCTGGTGGCCATTTTGGTAAGAATAGTTTATTTTTTAAAAAAGTATTTAAAAAACCAGATGTCTTCTACCTCCCCTGCAAAAAGCAAATATTTTCTCCATTTAGGTTGTTAAGCAGCAAAAGGGGTACATTTGTATGACATGTGTTTAATTCTCATGAAGTAACTGAGGATTGCTTTCTCCAACAGTGGCTTATCAGATACAATAATATTGGATATAATATCCAACTACTTGGTCCTTCCAAATAGAATTACAGTTCCCCTTGTCAGTGAAGTGCAGATTGCTCAGCTGCGGTTTCCTATACCAAAGGTAAGCATGTTTCTGTTAATACTAATCATTTGGTATTTAGCTTTTTCTGCAGTAGTAACTGTTAAAGATATGCCCATCTCTGTGAATTTCTAAATACGGTTACTGCAGTGGTACAAGTTCTTGTGAATCCAATCACTTAAAATTAAAAAAAAAAATTGATTTAATTTATAACTAATTTCTGTGGTGTTAATGTTGCATAATAATGCCAAGAAGGATTTTTTTTTTTTTTTGCGAGAATCTTAAAACATTACTTGCTAAAATACAGTTCAAGTGTATAGACTAAAAACTAAGTAGCATATATTTTATATTGTTAGTGTAAATTATTGTTAGTGCTCTTCACTGGAAAGTTGTTAATGTTTATTGCTACTCACTTCCAGTAGTATAGCATTTCTTGATCTAACGGGCATGTTTCCGATTGTTGATGACAATTTTTCTATTCAGGAATCTCAAGTGCTATGTCTGCTGTGTGTGTGAATCATCATTGATATCCCTCCATTTACAAATTTCATGTTGAGGAAATTGCAGTGGAAATTATCAAACTTATATTGCATAAGTTGTGATGACATGGAAGCTTTCAGATTATTACATAAACTTATCTTTTCCTTTTTCAGGGTGTTCTAAGGATACATTTTATTGAAGCTCAGGACCTGGAGGGGAAAGATACTTACCTAAAAGGGATTGTCAAAGGAAAGTCAGATCCTTATGGAATCATCCGTGTGGGCAACCAGATTTTCCAAAGCAAGGTCATCAAAGAAAATCTTAATCCAAAATGGAATGAAGTTTATGAGGTATAACCAATAAAAATACCCTGTTGTGTGTTCTGTAAAGTTGTCTTCTAAAGTTTCTTTTGTTGGAGAAGATACTCTGGGGACTTCCTTGAGGAGCGTCTTGATGTCTCCCTCTAAAAGTCCAAAGCTCTGTAACAAAGCAGAAATTATCCATTGATGTGTATATATATTTTGTCTAGACTAATCATCAGTAATTCTGAAAAGCAGTCTGGTCTCTTGCAGCCAGCATTAGCAAATTACCTCTGAAAAGCTCTCATACTTACTCTACTCATTAAGTTGCATCTTTTTTAAAGTATTTGCTTATTGATGTTTTAATACACAAGGGCACTGCAGTTCAATGTTTTACTGTTACTGTGCCATTTAACAAAGCTAGATGGTTTACCATTGACAGTGCCATCTTACTGTACTTCCAGGCCTTAGTGTATGAACATCCAGGACAGGAGCTAGAGATTGAGCTCTTTGATGAAGATCCAGATAAAGATGACTTCCTGGGAAGGTAAATGTTACGGAGACTATGTTTGAAGGTAGTGAAAAAAGGTGGAATATTGTGATGTAATCTGCTATATTACTTTATTTATATATTATCTTTTCAAAATGATGGTAGTAAGTAGTTCCCTAATTACTTCATATATGTAAAATATATATATATTTTAAAATGTGCTTGTGTGTATATACACATTATATGTTTACATGTGTTTTTAAAAAGAAGGTAAGTATTGTGGGTACCCAGAGGAAAAAAAAAAATAAATATTTATTTTTAATTTTTTTTTTTAGGAATTGTACCCTACCTGCCTTAATGTTTATAAGCTAGTGCTAAGGCTTAATTATTTCTTCAAGCAAAGTTAATGCAGCTTTATAACTTTGTATCTTCTTCATCTTCATAGTTTTTAAATGGCTGTCTCACAGTTTATTTTTCTCTAAGAGCTGATCTTAACTATTTGATTAAAGAAAAAAATTTGCTGTAATGCTTTTGCAAACATTATTCACTTTGAGATTCCATAGGCCTACCTTTAGTGTTTACCCATAAACATTTCAGGGTTTTAGTCAGCTTCTTTCTCCGGTAATTTGTCACCTTTATTTCTTGCAGAGTTTTGGAGCTTCCCATTGTTGCTTTCCATACAGAGTAGAACTCCCTTATCTTTCCAGCTCCTTCTCTCTTAACAGGAGCAACTGTACCTACTTCTCTTCTCATTAAAATAAAGAAGTAGGTAGTACAAAGGCTTTTTTTCTTTGCACTTCCCTAATCTTACACTGAAGTGGTGGGGTGGGAAAGTGGCATAAGGTGTACATCAGTACTAATAAAATAAAAAGCCACGACAAATGTTCATGCACTGGCATGCAGTTGTCTGCCATGTTTAATTTTTAGCAGATTCCCTGGTACATTTTTAGCTTGTGTGAACCAGCACTCTCCCAGACAATGCCAAAGCATGAATTTGGCCGTAGCATATGACCAGGGGCTGTTTCCAGTGGGTAGTTTGGATGTGGTCACTGTTTTGAGAGTTTGGTCATATGTACGTGAGCCATATTGTGCCAGTTGCCCTGATAGCTACAAAATGGGCTCTAGTACAGGCATATTTTCTGTTATCCTGCATTCATCCTCGTTCAGCCATTTCATTCCCTACTTCTTCCTCTCTTAGGGGCTAAAAGAATAGTATTCTGCTCTTTTGATCTCAGTGGAAGCCTGGATACTCAGCAAGCACAGGGTGGGGTTTGAGTTCTGTATTAGATTTTTTGCTTCTTGTCTAAAATACTGATTGGTTTTATTTCTTTTCTTTTTTCTAGTTTGATGATAGATTTAATTGAAGTTGAAAAGGAGCGTCTTCTAGATGAGGTAAGTGTTCAGTAACTTTTGGTTTTAAAAAACCCATATGTTGTATATGTAGTTGTTCTCATATTATTATTTTTTGCTGGGCATAGTTCCTGTATGTGCATGAATACCCTTAATGCTATAGAAATAGATCCCCTGATGATCAGTACAGTGGTTTAAGGGCTGTCTGAATTGGTGAAATCTGAAGAATAATGCCATTCTTCTTGTCTTGGGGTTTTAAGTTTACTAGTATGGAAATGCAAAAAAAAAAACAAACCTAACATGTATTTGACAAAAGTGTTTTCTTGCAGGAGAATAGTTAATTGCTTAATTTAATTACTGTTATACTTACCAGACTAATTTCTGTCCTATATGTAAGAGAGATTTTATAGTAATTTTATGCACGGTTTGTATTTCCAGAACATCTTTACAGAACTTAAAGAATTCTCTTCATATTTTAAAAATGATTTTACTATATAACGTAGAGGTTTGCGTGGCTGTTTATGTTATTCTGTGTTGTAATATTTAGTGTGAAATTTTATATAATGAATCAGATCTTTTCAGGTTATGCAGACTTCAGCTCTGTGAGATTTTTAGTAGATCTTAGCTTTTCCTAAATGTTCTGAAGAGCCAGCTGCAATCATGTTTTTGTTTGGTGTCAGATTATTTCACATTACTTTGCTTAACTTTCAGTGGTTTACTTTGGATGAAGTGTCCAAAGGAAAATTGCATTTAAAACTGGAATGGCTCACATTGATGCCAACTGCTGAAAATCTGGACAAGGTATTAAGAGTTCACATTACTTTTATCCTAATCTTAATGGTTGTGGGGTATTTTTTAATTTGTTTTGTTGTTATATATATAAATAATTTAATACTCTAGCTGTTGTGAATTTGGATAAACCTGTAACTTTATTCCATGCTATTTGTCTGTAGAAATCTCAAACCAGTCATGACTGTCAATGTACTCCTGTGGCATGGGATTTTAAAATGTTTTTGTCATCCTCTTCTCTTACTGTTATGGTTTGATAATACCAGCTAACATTTCATTAGCCTAGGAGATAAAGCTGGATATGATAATATAATCTGTCCAGTCTAAAAAAATAATTAGGAAATGGGGTAGAAATTTCCATAAAAATGAGTTTGAAATAGCTATATGAGTCTTAAAAACTTCCTTCTTATGGTTCATACTGTGCATTTGTTAATGTTTGCATTTTGGGAGATGTTTTAAAAATATTTTTCAGGAATAGGACAGAAATAATAATATTATTTGATTTTCAGAAATGCTTACAGTATGCTTTTGGTTTAGGTGCTAACAAGCATTAGAGCTGATAAAGACCAAGCCAATGATGGGCTTTCTTCTGCATTGCTTATTCTCTATTTGGACTCAGCAAGAAACCTGCCCGTAAGTTATATTCTGATGGATGCCCTTTTGTCATGGGTATCTCTTGCGTATTTCCAGCATGTCTTGCTTGGTAGTATGGCACACTGCTTTACTAACACACATTATGCCATGTTCTCTATACTTTCTCTCGTTTCAAAACGTGTAATGTAAGGTCCACAGTTCTAGTAGTATATTATTATAGATATATATTTAATAAAACGTTACTTGTTAATCAGTGTGATTTTTCTTTAAAGAATGCTCCTTTCCTGGACTTGAAAGGCTGCATGTTTTTATTACACAGTGTTTTCCATAAATAATATGGGATTAGCATGAGGAATTTTAAAGAACTAACTGGGAAAAGGCCCACTTCCTTGAGTTTAGGTAAACTTGCTTGCTTTGGTTTAGGGTCTCTGTCATAGATTTGGAGGTATTGAAGTCCTCATCATGAAAGTAACACTGTGCAGTTGATGTTACAGTGGCAGAATACTTGTATGAGATTTCTGACAGGTTGTCATTTGGAGTATTGTTTATTTGCTTGTGCAAAACATAAAACCAAACATATGAATGGTTCTGTCACTATATGGATTATACTATGGGACTGTGAAATAGCTTGTTTATGATGAGCACAGACTGTTTTGTAGTTTATTTTAGGTTAGTAAAGTACTGTTATAAATAATAGCAGTAATAAAGTAAACCTTGCCATAAATAGATATTCGAAGCATAACACTGAGTTTTACTGGTTTTCAGCATTGCTATTGCAGCTGGAAATGATGACTAAAATACTAATCAGAGAATAAAGTTTTCAAGCCTCAGATTTTTTATTTTTGCATGTATTTTGCAAATTTGTCCACTCACCTTAGATTTAAGTTAAAATGCTGCATCAAACATCATGGTAACAAATGAAACCTTATTAGTCTAAACAATTTACATCACTGACTAGTGATTTCGTGTCTGTTCCAGGGTATGTGGAGCAGTGTTTGGAAGTAGTGTTTATAGGTTATTTTAAAAGCTAAAAAGATGTTGCTCATTTGGAATAGAGTCCTGCATTATCTTTTTAGACTCACTGTGTTGAATTCAGGGAGACTCTGTAACTTAGCAGAAAAAGAGTTTGAATTACTCTAGTACAGAGTGAGCAGAAATAGAATAGAATTATGGTGTACTTAACATCACTTTCAGAATACTGCAACACACAGAAAAAGTCAATCTGCCATCTCTTTTGTGCGCTAGATTAAATTGAACCCATTTCTGTATTTTCTTGTTCAACTACTGGATTTAACTCAAACTGTTACAAGTTTAATATATTTGTTAAGATACACTAAAGCCTCTTAAAATTAATAGTTTAAAGTTCTCTCATCCACAATTTCCCAGGTTTTTTTCCATACAACTCTGCTTCTCTATGTTAGATTAGCTTCTCCATCAAATACTCAGAGGCTTTGTCCTAAGTTTAGTTTTCACCCTTCCTGTTTTAAACAAATGTTCTGTAACGTTGTCTCCCTCCTTCGGAAAGGTTAGGCTGCGAGTCTTGAGTTCTACGTACTTTTGGGGACAGTATTTTAATTTCAGTGTTTTAATCAGGACTTCTGATCAGTAGATCTCTAAATTCCAGGGCACAGAAAGGGGAAGTTCCTTGCACAAAGCTGACAAGTTTAGGAAATCTGGGAACAGGATCCCAAATTTCTTATTGCTGTGTCTGATGTTCTGTCTATAGTATAAGATTGCCTGGGTGGGCTGAGAATAAGGCTAGTCATAGTGTGGGACCTGTTTAACCCTTTGGTTTTTTCTTGCCCAAAAAAGCAGTTACTACAAATACAAATAACTCAATATTTAACTTCAAGTAATTTTCTTTCCAGATATGTACTACAAAGAATATGATAGAAAGTAACATTGAACACTTGAAAATTCCATTTACAACAATATAATAATAAAATACTGTGTTAAATTCAAGTTGTCCAAAACCAAATACAAAAAGGCTTCACAGTTAGGTGAAGGGAAAAATCTCATGGGAAGACTTCTTCATGAGGGAGAACCAAAGATTCCTATAGATTCTATAAAGACAATGCTTAGATAATGTCATGGAGCTGCTAGACAAACTGCAGGGAATTATAGTGAATACAGCTTTTTTATGTCCATTTGATTCTAATATGGAACAACATTTACAGGACTAAACATTCAAGTCTGCTGGCTTCTCATATTGTGTCCATATTTGCTGATAGGGGTCATGTAGTGTAATAGCAAAATTAATTGCTCTTTTGGATTGCTTGTATTAATGGAGAACAAAAAGTTAAAAAATAATGAAATCTCTTAAAATTGCCCTGACCCTTATTAATAGCTTTGAAGACTTCTGTCTACAACTTTAATGTTACAGCTATAATATTTTCTAGATGAATAAGTGGATTTCTTAAGTTAATGATTATCACTGGTACGTTTTAGATCATGGCATCAGCTTTGTTTTGTTTGACTTGTAGTGGATAATCCCCAGCATAGGCATTTCTTTTACACAGATGCATCATAGTTGTGGGTTTCTGAGACACTGGGATGATTTCTCTGAAATATGTTTCAGGTAAAATTGAAATGGTGTAGAAGGTTGGTCTCTAAAATTTACTTAGTTGGTTCTGCGATATAAATCCAAACTACCAAAAGTAAATTTGGAAAGTGGGTTAATATATTTGAATAATTCATTAAAAAAAAAAATAAAAAAAACCTTTCACCTTGCTGTGCTGCAGAAAGTAACTTAACAGATGAAACTATTTGTAATGACAGATATTTCCTTATTTTTTGTTATCTGCTGTTTTCTCTGGAATCCTTTGACTGTTTTTCTTAACTTTTTTGTGTAATAAAGCTGCTTATGCATTCATTCTGCCACAATCCCATCACTCTGCTTTCTCCTTCCATTTCCATCTTCCTAAGAGTATCTACGAGGGAAACTTTGGGTGTGGATACTTAAAAGAGAGGAGAGCATCGGGACTAGTCTTTTGTGAAAACACTACCTCACTCTATAGAGCACTATTTGTGAGTTCTCTGGTATTATTTGTATTGTACCTTTTATCTGCCAGAGTGTGGATTAGTGCTACTAAAGCCACTCACTCTAGTGGAATGAGAGCATGCAATTTGTTTTGCTGCATGGTTTCAACAAGTGTGCATTGTTTTTGTGCTATTTTTATTGCATTTTAAAGGCTACTGAAATTTCATTGGGTAAGTAATTAACTTTTTATGATAAAAACCCAAAATAAGTTTGTTGTAAAAGCTCTTACATTTAACTTAAATTGCTGATTCACTGAGAAATGAAATACATACTGTACTAGCACGCTGTGTGCTGGTGAATTGTTGGCTTTTCTTGCAATGAAATTAAACTAATAAATATTACAACCGACATCCCTGTAGTTTCTTTAAAAGGTGATGCACTCAATGTCTGGAAGAACTTGCAACCTCTCCACAGTGGTTCAATTATTGTTTTAAAAATGGGTGTAGTTCTTTGTGCTCCCCAAACTATAAATTCCCTTGTAAATTCTGTTTCACTCCATGACGCTCCTTGTTTTGCAAATTCCCAAGCTCCTTTTCTTTTTTTAAAATTAGTTTGCAGTCAGGAAAATACAGGCCAGGGAGAACCACCAATTAATATTTTTTTGCTTGAATTTAATGTTAGAAGATTATTACAAACAAATGAGCCTCTGAATATCTGTTAAATACAACCCTGGTATCTTCAAAAAGCATTAGAATTTGTTCAGAATAATAACTCTTTTGCCAGAGAGAGCAGGATATGCCATTGTTGCAGGCTGACTACTTTTGGCTCATATCATAACCCTTGATTTAAAAACAGCTTTCCTCCTGCCCCTCACCCAAATCCCAACAAAATCTTTTTTTGTGGTCCTTTTAGTTAGTTTCTGTGTAGTTCATTTAAAGTATCAAAAAAGTTACATCCATTACCAAGTCTTCCTGAAACGTAATGAATAAGAAATGTGTTTCATAAGCTATGGTTCAGTTACCTTGGTATTAAAACTCATAGGTAGTTTTCTTTTAGTTATAAAAATATTAGATACACCCTAAAAATAATAATAATAATTAAAAACCCCCCAACTTGATAAAGACTGTAGCCCTGATGTTTTTGTTTGTACTTAAAGTTTTTGCATTAGGACATGTCCTCTATGTATAGCAGCATCTATTTAGCCATTGGACAAAATTTTCCAAATTCCTGAAGTGATTTGTGGGTCAGAGTGGAAGAGCAGCCATTTTAAGACAGCCAGGTCTGGATTTCTTTCAACAGCACTGTTAACTGCCTTGTTCTGCAGTTGTGTGAGTGCTAGTCTTGCAGCAAGCAAGAGGACGAGATTTATGGCTGGAGGCCAGGAGAGAGGAGAGGATTGTAGCAGTCCAGAGATAATAACAGCTTCAGCAGTCATAAACCTGCACCTTCTTTTCAGGATGTCTTTTTTTAAACACAAGCCAACATTCACACCTGCAAATTCAGATTATCTAATTGACATGTAAAATGAGTTACTTGTGGGAGGGGGAAGTGTTTAAAAGGATGCTCGCTTTATAGAGGGAGAAGAAAATCCAGTGCCCTGTGCTCTCTGTTCCTTTCTAGACAGTTTTTTTTCACTGCTGGGAACCTAGATTCATGACACCAGATTCAGACATTTACCCACCTAAATCTGATTTACCTGAACTTAAGGAGTATGAATAGCATTCTTAGTATAATTCCCAAAAGTGAGTAATGCTAGTTTTATGATACGGTATCATTAGCTCATAACATTTTTATTTTTTTTTTTTAATTTGATGTCTATATAAAATAAATTAGACATATTTTAAATCAGCTCTTACAGATCAGTGACTGTCTTCTGGTCGTCAGTTGCAGATGCACTCACAGATTTAGAAACTTCTAAAGACCCATTCTAACCCCAAGCAAGACTTAGAGAGTCAACAGAAGTAATGAGTCATACGCCAAAGCATATTGAATTAGGATCTGGCTTAATAATAAAACAACTTGTTAGTTGTGGTGTAATTTATAGGTTTGTTAGCAGCATTTACTGCAAATGTCACTGGCTGTTACAGAATGCTAGCCTGAAATTTAATTTATTCCACTGTGTCAATTATCAGTATAGTTCTTGGATACCCATCCCCTTTTCCTAAAATTGCAGAGACACTGAGAACCATAGCAAGACAGTTTTGTCACCCAAGGCAAGACTTTTTCTCATCTTTTTATATTGAATACTCCCTTTTCTTCTAGTCTCCTCCCACCCAGCCTTTCAGCCACCATCCTCATGGACCTGCAGCTCCTTCCCTTAAAACCTGAAGTCTGGCTTAAACATATTTGCCCCAGCTGATATCCCTCTTGGCCTATCCTTGCTATGATTCCAGAGGAATTGAGACATGTTCAATATCCAGGAACCATTGGTTGCCTGCCTTTCTGGTTGATCACATAGGTTTGGTTTTGACTTTTAAAATTATTTGAAAAACTAATATAGGGGAAAAAAAGATGTGTACTGAATATGGAGGTGCAAATGTGAAGATGGCCAGTAAGTTGAGGGGCAGTTTAGGGTTCAGAATTATCTTGTTTAATTGCAGATAAAATCTGAAAAATTAAAGTACTTTCCATAGAGGACAGTCATTGCACCCGTATAAATATGGGATGGAAATAATTGTCTGATGGATAGCCCTACAGAAATAGATCTGTAGTTGTGCTGTATCATGTTGTTATGAAAGACAAGCACTGTGCTTGTGCTGTATGTACAAAAGAGGAATGTAGCCTGTAAGATGTATGGACTAATCCTTCCTTTAGCCGTTACTAAGGCTCTGATTTTGGCTGTAGCAATTAAGATGTGGAGGACAGGAACGATAATGAGAAAGCCTGTAAACATGACTAGCAGAGGAAGAGAGTTCAGCCTTAGGAAGTAAAGATGGTGATGGAAGTGCAAAGTGACTTCTTCATGTTTGTCAGAAAACAAGAAAAAGTGCTTAAACTTCAGCAAGGAACATACCTCTTTGGGCTTTAAAAAAATTACTAATGAAAAGGATAGTTAAACATTAGGATAGGTATGTCTAGGAATATTCTGCAGTCTCCATCTTTGAAGGTCTTTAAGTACAATAGTAAGTCCCTAATGTATCAGATAAATAGCTGTGGAAGATTCTGTAATTTTATTTTAAGAAAAATAATGGTTAAAAATATCTCACAAAATCAGCCAAACCTTATTTCTGATTTTCTATAGTTTCATCAAATTATATGTTCATTCTGAAATAATAATTCTAAAGCAGAATGCCAGAGATCTCATCTTATATATTGGCCAACTTCAGGATATGGCATTTCAAAAGAAACTGTAAAAAAGTATTTCTGCGTAAAGGTTAAATGTGTCTTCAAACTTTAGTCACTTTAGGATTCGAATTTCAGGAAGGCATTTATTTTGGCAGAGCATTGAGAATATTCATTCCTGTTCATAATCCAGCATGTTTAAAAAGGCTGTTATGCAATTTTTTTGTTGCCACACACTACAGCTTTTAAAGCAGAATTCTCCCTTGAAACAAAAATTTATACTTAAAGAAAAAGGCAGCCTTAAGTATACTAAATTGAAGCCTATTTTATTTCAAAATCATATTTCCTGAAATTATTTCTTTTGAGTTGAATGCAAATTTTCTGTAACATTTTTGTACTTTACATGTGTCACTTGGAGAACAATATATTATTTTTTTAAAAAAATAGCTTAATTAATGGAAAGTAGTTAGAGGCTTTGTCCTGTTAAATCAGTTCAAATTCCTATTGTTAGTGTATTTGCATGTCTTCAACTAAGTAAAGTAGTAGACCTTCATTCTAGTTAGCATGCAGTGTTTCTGTCATTCATCTGCTGAAGAGGCTCAAATGAATTTGATTTACACAGTGATCTAAGACCTATCAATACTTTTAGCATGGTAATTTCTCCCATAAAAGGACTCCTTCACATCATTACTTGACTTGTCATCAGAGAAGCTTGTATGTTATGAAAACATACTTAACCAAATTTTAAAAAGGTTCATTCAGAAGGCAGTCCATAGGACATCAGGCATTCAATAAAACCTATTTTGTGAAGTTTTTTTATTACAGTAAAAAAATCTGGTAAGGGAAATATAAGTGGACTGAAAGTGAATGTATTAGTTTTAAAGCAGAATACAAACATTCAGGGAGGACAAAAGGGAAAAGAAACCCAAATGTTTTGTCAGACTTTTTTTTTTGTTGTTGTTGTGGTCCATTCTTTTGTTTTGTTTGAAAGATTTGGGGGTTGATTTGTGGTTTTTTTTTTAGCTTTTTTTTTTCCCCACTTTATTCTGTGTTGTCATGTCATAATTAATTAACCTAGTGAAATTGCTTTATTGCATGACATTAACCCTTCCTATGTTCATTCTCTCCTGACTTAAAAGCATAATCCTTTAGAATTTAACCCTGATGGCTTGAAGAAGGCTGCTGTTCAGAAAGCCCTAAAGGTAAAACTAATATAGTTGTCCATTTAAGGTCACAAAAGTAATTGGAAATGCACCAATGCCTGCAAGACTTCGCTTCCAACAGTGGATGGCTTTTCAGTTGCCAGATATCTATTTAGTGCAATTCCATTTTACTTAAATTTGGTTTCAAGAAGAGTCAAGATATTGGTAAAATACTATGAACTGTGGTAATTTGAATTTTAGATCAGCTGAGTGGAATGTAGACCGCTTTAGAAGAAATAGGAGTCCTGAGAACTACTATGAAGCAGTAACTAAAGAACAAAGCTGACATGAAAGCTAAAGCATCTTGTATATACTGAGTGATACTTTATTGGTCAACTCAGAGAGACTAACCACATTCAATCTCTGACATGTTTTGAAATAATCTTGTTTCTGCTAGATTTTTTTAGAAGGCTTTACATCTTTTCCATAAATGCTAAATAAATTTAGCCCAGCTTTTTGATACGGAAGGTACAGATTTGAGAGGCAAACTTGGAAGACATAAGCCAAGTTCTCAGCTGGAAGAACTTGGACAAGAGGCAATCTCTAATAGACTGTCAACAGCAGATGTGTCAGTGGCAGGTGTTAGTGGTGCGTTATATATGTGTGTACATACTGCTGCCTATTTAGCGTGAATTAAATTTATTTATCTTTACATAGCAACATAAGCAAAAGGGTCTTTTTGTCAACTTCTATAGTTTCATCATTTATGAAGAAAAGGGAGTTTCAGGTATTTTTTTATGGACGAATAAAAAATGAAACAAATTTCACTTACAATTTTTAAACACTATCAGTTGGAGTGTAATCTGACTTTATGTTCCTTGAACTTTTGTATTCTGTTGTCTTTGATGAGAGCTAAATATTTTTTATTAGAAATCATGAAAAAAGAAATGCAGCGTTCATCCAAGAAAGGAGTGCTTTCTTAGCAGCTTTTTTCTAAAGGAAAGTATGGTTATAAGCAGAGTGTCACATGAAAGTCAAGTAATATTAGTGGAAATATGATGTCCAAAATATAAGTACCTAAAATATACACATTCTTAATTTAAAAAATATATTATATTTTAATCAACTGGTTCTAATTGTGACCTTACATACATTAAGTAGATTTTAACTAACTTTTTGTTTACATACCTGATCTGTACAATTTTTTTACATGGTAGAATTCAAAGTATATTATTAACCGTGTATACTATATTTTCTAGTCCTTTTAAACTGCATTAACACCTGCTTGAGATGATTAACTTTCATGTCTAACTTTTCTTTCTGACTTAAATTTTTGTTAGGTTAATTTAAAATTTGTGAAAGAAACATGTAGTTGGGAATGTTCCTTTGTGTATATAATTTGTTTCTAAACTGATGTTTATTTTCACAGTTTGAGGTAATGCTATACACCTGGTGAGCAAGGCTCAGATGGTTGATTCTCTAATAAAGAGTATTTGGTAAACTGTAGAAATATACATCAGGTACATTATAGTGCATCATCTTTCTCCCCAAACTGAAAGGGGGGAAATATCCATGTTCTGATACTACATCCAGTTTAATAATACTACTGCAATGTAAATAAAGAAAGCTTCCTGAGTTTGTGCTTTTCCATATCTCCCATCTGCATGCAATATTCATTTTGCAGTTTTAACTATGCTTTGTTAGCTTTGGGTGTTTTAATGCTCATGAAAGGATAAGAATTTGCACATTGCCAGTTTCATTTGAAGAAAATGGAAAGGCATCTAAAACTCCTGCTTAGTTGTAGCATTTTGCTTCAGCATATTTAGGATAGCTGGATGCCTTCCTGTTAATGTGTTCACAAGTTACTAGCCAGTCTGCCATTCAAGCCTGTTAAATAAAATACTGAGAATAGATACACATATAGTAGAATACATATGATTTGTTTTTTTAAGATTGAAACATTTAAGTTTCAGACAAGAGAGGTTTTGCTTTATTCTGAAGGCAAAGTTTTTACTTTTTCTTTACCAGTCAGGAAAGAAAATAAACAGCAATCCCAACCCACTTGTTTTGCTGTCAGTTGGACACAAGGCACAGGAAAGTAAGGTAAGTTCCTAGTTTTTATACTTTGCAAACATTTGGTGGCTCTGTGTGCTTGGCATTGGCTATCAAGCCATTGGATGTATCCACTGCACTAAAAGTTACCACTAGAACTGGAATAGCACACTAGAAGCCAAGGGTTGAATGGGTGCTTACTCAATTTAAACTCTGTGAGAAGAGACCAGATTTTTAATTATTTGTAGATGTCCTTCCACAGTAGGTTCTGATCTGCAACTGGGATTCCTACAGTAATGATTATATAAATAACAGTGTGGACAAACAGCAGGCTCAAAATACTGATCAAGATTTGAAAATTTACAGTGTCACGGAGTTAGAGAAATGCCCAGGTCAAAAGGGACCACTGAAGATCATCTGCTTGAACCTTCTGTTTAAAGTAGGGCCATAGATTAGCCAAAGTGCTGTGTAGCTCTCAGGAGCTCGTAGTTTAGCCAGGCTGCTTTGTTGTTAAGTCTGCTACTTTTTCTGTTGCAAGGTGTGGACCACTTCTGTGCTTTGAGAAGGCTGTCCTCTAGCACTCCTGAGCTCCTTTGCCTTCCAAAAGGAATCACTCGTGGAATCCCTTCTAACAGTTGAAATCTGAAGTCCAAGGCTTTTATTCTGCTGTTTTGTTTCCTTCATACCCTTTAGGATCTTAAGCTCTGTGACCTTACAGTCACTGTAGCCAAGGCTGCTTTTGATAGTCACATCTGCAAACCAATAAATATTTCTCATATGTAAGCACTAGATTGAGAAGAACATCCCTCCAGCGTTTGAGAACAACTGTAACACAACAGTGTGTGTTTTTCTAGCACAAACTCTTAAATTGCTTGTACAACGCTGTGCTGCTTTCCTAGAAAACACTAGAGTAGTTGAGTGTCTCAGTGAGAACCTGGTTCTGCAGACCTGAAACAGCTTTGAGTCATCTGAAGAAGACATCATCCATCTCTTTTTCCTAATTGGCTGGTCTGTAACAGATGCCTGTCACGAGGCTGATCTTAATGGTGATCCCTCGGATTTTGACCCAGGGCATTCAACATACCTGTCATCTTGTCCATAAATAACCTCTGTGGATTCAAACAGCTTTTTAAAATAAAATAGCAACAGTGAAGTGGTACATATATAGGTAGATATTATGCAATATGGATGTGTTTTCATTTTGTTGTTGTTTTAAAGTAAAAGTATCAGTGAGCCAAAAGGAGAGGACCTCTACTTTGACTTCTTCGTATCCTGTCAAAAATTGTCATAAAGCCTAAGACAGATCTTTTATACAGTCTTAATTTTGATACTTATTAGAGAACAGAGATAGAAATTTAAGTCCTTTGTTCCTGAAGATAGAGAAAAAAACAGTTATAAAAAAAAGCTTTTCCCCACCAAATTACTGGCTTGCTGAAAGTAGTGAGATTTGGCAGTGAACTCTTCCACAGTGCTACTTGGAGATTAGAAGGAAAAATACCCGTTTCTAGGAGTTTCATTGAGTTAGTTCAGCCAGTCTGAAGACCTTGCATTTGTTCAGACTGGTGTGAAGTAAATGTTCTTTAGCAGGAGTTTTACTTTGCATACAGCAACTTGAATGCAAAACATACTCTATTACATGTCCTCTGTATAATTTTATATGTGGTATTATATATGCCTCGGGTAGATCCCACTTGGCCTTTATTTAAATATGTCAGATTTCTGATGTTAATTTTGCAAAGCCAAAATGAAAAATATACTTAACTCTTGACACCAGACAAAAATGTTTTATAATCTGTATGTTTCCTGTCCTCTAACTTCAGATTCGATACAAGACCAATGAACCAGTATGGGAGGAAAACTTTACTTTCTTTGTACACAATCCCAAAAGACAAGATCTTGAAGTTGAGGTATGTTGTCTCACTCTCTTTAGATACTTTTCTAAGACATTTCATTAGTAATATTGAGACACTACAGGCTGTTATGAAATGAGACTGAATATATTGTGAATGCCATTAAAATTATACTTAAAAGTTTTTTTTAAGACCAAGCTATGAACTGTTTATTTGCATTTACTACTAAAAGAAAGAAAGACTATAACCAATGTCTCACCAGAAGAGACATTGATTATGTATTCCTCTCTCATCCCAAGGAAGGCTTTGCTTTATCCAAATACTGTATCCCTTTACACTGCTGACATGTCGTTTACATAGTTCAAAGAGACTAAAGTGTAAATTAGTCCTGTCCTAGTTACTATTCCTCTAACAGAATTCATTTTCACACAGACCGTTGGGAAATCATGTCGTTAGTTGACCAAGGGTCAGGTAGATGTAGATGTAGTGGTTAGTTTTCTGTCTCACTTTTGTTGTAGAAGATAGGGATGAAGAAACTAGGCACTCAGTATATTTGCTATTTCCTTCTTCAATGTAAAGTAATCTTATGATCAGGGAAATTTGGTTTAAGAACAAGTTACATTTGATATTGTTTGGATTTTTTTTTTTTTTTTATAAAACTGTAATTTCCTTTTCTTTCTCTGAATTCTTACAAAGCAGATGATACAAAATGACTTAGCTTCTGTGTTCCTTCAGGTGAGGGACGAACAGCACCAGTGTTCTTTGGGGAACTTCAAACTGCCTCTAAGCCAGTTGCTGGAGAGTGAAGATTTAACTATGCATCAGCGGTTCCACCTGAGCAACTCTGGTCCAAACAGCACTATAAACATGAAGATTGCACTCAGGGTACTCTAAAACTTTTCCCATTGTAAACATATGAAAGCATATTTAAGACTATTGTGACTTCTAGTCTTCTGCCTTTATGGATAAGGTAGTACTTTTCCTTGGGTGTCACAATGCCAAGTGTCATTAGTTGCAGCAGTGCTATCAAGTACACAAAGATAACCTCTGATTTAAATACATTCTATTTCAAAACCAGAACATTCTCCAAACAAGACAGTAATCAGCTGCATTAATTAAGACAGAGATTTCCTGTGGTTTTAGGTTCAGGAATCACATTTGGAATCTGAATTCCTTCAAGTCTCTTATGACTCAGTGAGCTACAGATCAGTGAAATCACCTTTATCATATAGAAATGGAATTGAGGTCATGATCCTTTAAAAAGAATAAAGTTTAAAGGGAAAGGAAGTACCTTCATAGTACTAGAAAAATTCAGAACAACTTTCAAGCATATTGGGGTTTTGAAAATGAAAATTGCATACCTGAAAGTTGGTTTGGCGTTTTCCCCAGCTAAATTACTTGGTTTAATAAGGTAGTGTATCTCTTTGCAAACACTGTCAAACTTCTGTTATTTGTTCTTTTCTAAAGCACTTTCTTGCTTACTTGTCATTAATAAATAAAAATAACCTATAAAAGAGAAAGTAAGGATAACGAGAGAGAAGAATTTGTGATGTAGGATTAAATTTAAAAATATTAGAAGAAAAAAATTATAGAGTAGCTTTCCAGGTGGCTAGAGCTGCAAAGTAAATAGCACTTGCACGAGAAGTATGTGGAGCATGGAAAGGGAATAATGAGGAGAATAATTCTAAGTGAATGGAGAATTGTGTTGTAGTCACTGCAGTTGCCACAAAGAAGATGGAGTTGTGTTTTGCTGTGCAAAAGGTTTCCTGTTATAGACTGAGTGAGTGTAAGTGTGAATATTTTGGTCCTGCATTAGTGTCTGAACTTAACAACTTGTCACCAACCAAGTATACTTGTAGAAACAATTTGTTTGTGCTTTTTATACTGGAAAATAGTAATATTATATGTATTTTTACTATATCTAGGTCCTTTCTCTTGAAAAGCAATCAAGATCTCCAGATCACCAACACTCAGCCCAAGTAAAAAGGCCGTCTCTTTCCAAAGATGCAAGAAAATCATCTTTTAAGCCTCAGGTTCCTGTCTCACCACCACCTGATTCAAGCAAACCTGTTCCAGCTTCCCCAGGGACTGATAGTGATAAAAAGACTGACATAGCTGAAAAAAGTCAGCCTCCCAATGCCAGCCCTCAGTGGCCAACAGATCTCAGCCGAAGTTCCTCCAGTCTTCATGCCTCTAACTTCTCTTATTCTCCCAGCCATCTCTCAGTCAAAGAGCCCACTCCTAGCATAGCCTCAGACATATCTCTGCCTATTGCCACACAGGAGCTACGGCAAAGACTACGACAGCTTGAAAAGTATGGTGTTAATTACTTGGTTTTGCAATACCTCTAAGTTGTTTTATAAAAAATGTCATTAGTGCAGCCAAAGAAAGAATGCTTAGTTTGCATTGCAGTAATATTTTTTGCTGTTGGAGTTTGAGCCTGGCATTTGAAAATCAGTCATTGTGGTTTTCTGCTTCCTCCTAGTACCTCAGTTAGATTCTGCAATTAGAAGTTATCTTACCATTGCAATGATCTGCATGATAAAGTCCACCTCATTCTCAGAGCTACACTGTTTAGTGCTAAAAAGAGTGGGATGGCAAGAGGGAAGGATATTTTTCAATACAACATTAATCACTTTCATGGCAATAGTTGCCTGTTTCACCACTGAATCCTATTAGCATTAATATTAAGCCAATTAAACTGAATATAGCTGGTCTTTTTAAATTACTCAGAGGGATAGCTGACTATAAAGAATGTTAAATGAATAGTCAGTTACTATTCAATTAATGAGGATTGCTGCAGCCATGCTTTCTCAGATTCTCTAATTTTCTTTTACTTGCCTCAACGGGCAGCTATGCTTACCAGTGGAGATAGCTGAGCAGCCATTCTGCTCTGAATAGGAGAATGGAAATCATTAATTCCCTATTCATGTAGCTCCTCTGTGAATCTAAGTAGAAAGATTTTAATTTTTTATTTGTAAGGGATTGAACTGATTCATCTTTTTCTCTATCAGAGTTCATAGAATCAATAGAGTAATATAGGTTGGAAGAAACCTCTGGAGGTTGGTCAGCCCTCTTCTCAAAGCAAATCCCACTTCAAAGTTAGATCAGGTTTCTTGGGCCGTGTCCAAACAAGTTTTGAATATCTCCAAGGATGGAGATGCTATAAACTTCCCCAGCAATTCCAGTGCTCAACCACTCCACTGTGAAAATGTTTTGTCCTTATTTCCAATTGGAATTTATCTTGCGGCAACTTGAGTGCGGCCTTTCGTTCTTTTACTGTGCAGCGTCATGAGGACTCTGACTCAGTCTTCTCTATGATGTCTGTTTTAAGTAGTGAAAGACTGCAGTTGTATCTGCTGTTGGCCTTCTCTTCCATTTGTACAAACCCATTACTGTCACCATCTGCTTATGTGCTCCAGTCCCCTATTTATCTTTATGGTCCTCTCCTGTCTTGTCTTCAGTTTGTCATTCTCTTTTCTGGCCCAAAACTGGGTTAGACTTTGTTAATTATGAGAAATGTTGAAATACTACTCCTTATTTAATACACAAATTTAATAACTTTCTTATTTGATAAGAGTGGTAAAGCGACAGCTAAGGTGGTCCTTTATTGTAGGCTCCATGTTTTCAGGTGCTCTGATTTTTGCGTTGGGGTTTTTATTTATTTATTTATTTATTATTTTAACTAAGAAAATACCGAACTGAAATGCTTCATTCTAGTTTTTAAAGTGAGTGATACGGGAATTTCAATGGAACATTCTGCAATCACTTTGTAGTAGCTATTCACAAAAGAGGCCCACCTCTCCCTTGAGGTTAAGATATCCTTCAGGTGGCTGAGAAATGTTGAGCATGCCATATACTGTCCTGTGTGAAATGGAAAATAGTCACTTTAAAATGCTTATTTTACTTTGTGTATAGAGATGAGGGAACTCTGCAAATATTGGCCATTCTTTAAAACAGAAATTCTTAATCATAATGCTTGGACCTGTATTGTAAGTGCAAATTGATTCTAATCTTTCCATGTGCTACCAAAAAGTAAACCAGCTGTGTTTATACTGTGATTTGAGCTTTTAAGACACTTAAGTGGGTTTAAGTATCAGTATTTTAAGCCAAGCATATTTGTAGTTCTGTGTTAGAGAATTGAAGAAAGAATGAGCTGATCTTCTAATTGGTTCCTGGCCATAGGTAAGAGTGACTATCACTAAGAGTGAACATCACTAAGGTTTTCATTGCAGTATTCTTTCCAATTTCCTAGATACTGCTTTAATGTTTGATTTAGGGTAAGCAAGTTCTTCACTGATCATCATTTTCAAAATACTGCAGAGCAGCTAACCTCTAAACTGACAAGAATACCTAACTTATTGGAGAGTAGAGCTGTTGGATGAGGAACTGAAGTACAAGAAACTGATGAAGCTGTGCTCAGGTTCTAACGCGTGCTCTCTTCTTTCACATTGGTGTAGTGAAAAGTTAAATGGATAAGACATGATTTCTGGGAAAACTACTCAGCGTATCTTTCAGTTAGGTCTTACTTTAAACATGGTTTTAAAAACTAAGCATACTGTTCTACTTTTTCCTGCAGTGGAACAACTCTGGGGCAGTCTCCATTAGGACAGATTCAGCTAACGATTCGTCATAGTTCACAAAGAAACAAACTGATTGTGGTAGTGCATTCCT